ACGCAAGTAGGATAAAGGCTGGTCTGCAACACTTGCTGCTCAAACAGAAACACATCTTGATTCTGCAGAGACAAAAAGCCAACAGTGGGACTGCAGCCTTCTGCTGGAACTTTTACACATTTAAATATAGTCCCACTTTTCAGGCAGCTGCCCTAATTGTACATGACATGACATCCAGTACAAATGGGCACCCAAGGATAACTGTAGTTTGTTACAGCTTATAAGGCTTAACCAAGTCCCACTATGCACATGCTAAGTCATGCTGTTCTTTTCTCTTGATAAGACGTTAACAAACAGATACAAGCTCTTCACTACTTGGAAAGAGGGCAAGACAGAGGGAGGAAAAAAAAGGAAACTTCAGAGTTAAGTAGTCCCTGTGTGTTTCTCCTTCTTCAAGTCTTCAAGAGTATTGCAATCTATCAGACAGATCCCTGTCATGTTGGTCTTTCTCAGAAAGTATCCTTCCCTGACAATGCCCTGCTTCGCATTTTAACGTTTGCAAAGTTTGTCTCTCTTCTGTGTTATTTCTGACGCAACTGATCAGCTGAAGGAAAATCAACCCAGAGGAGCAGCGGTGACTAGCTCACTACTGCGCCCGGAGGAAGGCTTTTAGGTGGGGGAGCTGGAGGGGAGAAGAAGAGAGAGCGGGTGGAAAGAACTTAGCTACAATTCTTTCATATCTAAAGAGGACAGCAATCTCTGTTCTATCAGACCACGCGGTTCTTGCTTTAAATGGTCCTTGCTGCTGGCTTGCTTTCCCTGTCTCTGTCTCTCTCCCTTTGAAGCAGACTGGACGGCTTCCTCAAGCTGGCGTTATCACTCCCTCTAACCACTCTTGGCAGGCAATCTAATTCCCCCTGAAAAGGTCACCGCCATTTTAACTGCCTTTCAATCACATTAAGCACGCTGCCGCTCGTGCTCAGAGCGCTGCGCCTGCAGCTCTCCTGACTGAGGTGCGATCGATAAACTGACATCCCGTCCCCCCACCCCATCTCCCCAACCACCCCGCGCATCGCTCCCCTCCTTCCCCTCTCCCGGAACTGGCGGCGAGAGACCAAGTCACCAAATCCCCTCCTCAAATCCGAAGCGGCAGAAGGGAGCCGCTAGCCTGGCATTTACAAATCTTTGTCCCATCTGCTAAGAAACAGAAGGGTGCAAGCATCCCCCCTGCCTTCCTTAGACCTACAGAGGCAGCGACTTCACAGGGCAGTTTGCTCAGGCATCGGTCCAGACACCTTTGAAGCTGTGTTACAAAGAACAAGCCTCCCTCAAGCTTCCCTCAATGCAATCATTACCGTTATCTCTCCCCCCGCGCTGCTTTTTTTTTTTGCAGTTACGAGTTATGTGTTCCACTCATCGATCCCTGTGTAAGACACTGTTTTAAGTCCTCTTGCCTTTTGACTGTGCTAAGCCGTTTAAGAGATGACAGCGGCTTCTATCAGTGCGAAGCTGATGTGATTCTTTTCAGATAAAGCACTTTTTTTTCTCTCCCCCCCTCCCTTTCCCTTCTTTCAAGTAAGAGACATACACACAAAAAGAGACACTGAATCTTTCAAAGAAAAAAAAACCCTTTTGAACTTCCCTCAGGAATTCTTTAAAGGGATAACCTTACAGTGTAAACACCGAGGGTAATGTGCATCCATTCTGGAGAGGAACAGAAGAATCGCTACAAATTTGCTGAGCGTTAAAAAAAGACCCAAACCAAAACAAAAAATACATCAGAGAAGAAGCCACTTGATGCTTTCACTTGCGAAGCCTTGTTGGCTTCCTAAACACAGAACCTCATTAGACAAAGATGGCATGAAATAATCCCCTGCAACAAAGAGCTTCAGAGAGGCGTAATTCAGAGACATGGGGACAGATGGCTACTGAATGTTCAGGTATTTAAAGAGAAATTTTAGTTTTGCGACACTGTACTGAGAAATGGAAATATTTGATTCTTCTAACTGTATTGCTTTTCACTTTGAAGTACAAGCTTGATTTAAACAGCGCTTGGTATTTATGCTGGTAGCCTTCTGCACCCATCTCAGACAGAAGCAAGAACCCTCATACTACAAGCCCCTACTTCAAGCAGAACCTCTGCTAAAACCAGGCAGTTCCAAATCCTACGTAATTGCCAATAATCTTCATTTACACCTCGCGTTCTTCCCGTTTTGGGTAAGCAAATTACATGATAGCAAATGATGCTTTAGGAGACCAGGGCAAGAGCTAGAGGTACAAAGTATTTCCTGACTGAATGCCAAACCCAACAACTTAACAGACAACATGCCGATCCCCGCACTTCTCAGTTACGTCACCTTCCTATTTCCTGTTCTTCCCACCTGCTGCCTCGACCAGACCACGGCAGGCAAGAAGGTGTGCTTTGGCTCTGCTGCACTGTGCCTGACTGGGATTTGCAGCTCTAACACTAACACAGAAAAAGAATTTCCACCCCCCAAGGACAGCTCCTCAAGCAAGAGGAGGAAATTTTCCCTGCAAGCGGTTTGGAAGCAAGAAAGCATCATCCTAAGAACCACACAAGCAAGAGTTTCAGCCTGTGATTGCTCCCAAGTGTTAGACTACCTTTCAGAAAACCTGAACAGGGCTGTTCACTTCCCTGACCTTTCAGTTTTCAGAAAGAAAAACCTCAAGATCTCCCAAATCGAGAACCTGGCAGGATCTTTCATATAATTAGCACAGACTTCTCCTCACCTTGAGAGCGATTTGAACTTTGTTTATTACCGAAACATGACATAGCCGGGACCCTTGTTAAGTTTGACTTGCTTCTGTAACGCTGCCCAGTGGTCTGACCGACTCCTGCAACACACGCTGGCCACAGCGTCCTGCTCCCCCTTTGCCCAGCAGTGACATCTCCTCAAAGCAATGCACCGTTAAAACTGAAATTAATGAGACACACGGACATCTACTTTCCCCTCCGGTTTTATGTATTTCCCCATGTCATTTCTTTAGACACTGGTGACATCCCCGTAGCCTGGCGAAGGCTGTCTGGCATTATAAAAGGCCTTCGATTTCCACATCGCTGCTACTTCTCAGCAAAGGGAACTGAGCCAAACACAAAGCCTCGGGTGACGAGGGTTAACAAGGGCCTTGCCAACTCCAGACAAAGCAGTTTTAAGCACTGGAAAGCATCTCCAAAGCGTTGTGCTGTGCTTCAGGGCTGTAAATTAAGAATTCTGTCCCTAAAACAAGGCAAGAGCCAACACTGGCGGAGAAAGAAAAAAGACAAGTAATGACTATACTACATAAACACAGCCTAAGACCTTGCATGGTCCTGTCAGGCCTCTACCTGGAATGGTGTACAGATGCAACTCTTCTCACGGGTGCAAAAAAGTTAAGGTAGGTAAGGCTACAGGCACAGGAAGCAACCGTGCAAGCTTCACTGGGTAGCCTTTAAAATCCAAAGCAGCTGTTCCTTCACTTCTGCGTTCCTCATCATCTTCTCTGCCACAACCCTGCTACAATTTAATTTGTAAGAGCAAGGTTGTCCCTAAGCACACAGCTGGCTTTGAAGTCCAGCTCCCTTATGTAAGAGCCTTTAACCTGGAGATATTTTAAATTGAAATCCAAGCTGATATAGGAAGAGATCACATCCCCTCCTCTTTCTCGGAGCGAGCCAGCATTCCTCCTCCTCATTAGGCATGCGCCATGTGGATTGCTTGAGAGACTCTCCTTAGTGCCAGAGGTTCATGCCAGTGAACAGTTTAGTAAATCCTCCTCTTCGAGGCCAAAGGGCTGAGTGTAAGAAAGGGGCCAGGTTTCTAGCTAAAATTACATTCACCAATAAAGCTCACGAGAGGTCAAATTTTGCCATAACTCACTCTCTCCTCAGTAACTGATTTCCCCGTCACCAGGGAAGGAGCAAAAGAAGAAGGAAAAATAAAATGTGTTTGTTTGGGAGCCCTAAGGGCTTGCAGTGCTGGAGGTGTAGAGCAGGTTCCTGGATTCTCATTTATCAACCTTAAAAGGGATGGAGTGATAAATGCACAACTGGCCCTTTAATATTTTATGCAGGTGCTACAGTGCCTTAGCTGTCATGTTCAATACATCACCATCGGCCGATACACCAGCTTTCGTCACTCCAGGCTGGGAATTTTTACAATTTCATTTCTATTTCCCTCTCTTCACCTATTTCCATGTATTTCTTACTATGTGTAACATATAAGAAACTATTTTCCCCAAACGATATCCCCATTCTACCCACTCCCACTCATTTCCTCTTCTGCAACGTTTTTTGAGCAAGAAATAATGTCACACTTTGGTTCAAGATTTGCACAAATTTTGACTCTTTACCACTCAAGAGAGGCAGAAAGCTGAAATCACTTCACATTCTGGCACAGGTTGATGGTCCTACCCTTTGTGAGAGGCAAATTCCCAGGTCCCACCCTTTAAAGGTAGGCAACGATCAACTTCCACAGCAGAATAATTTACAAGGGCCAAAAAACACTGTCGCACCTCGAAATCCTCCCTCCAGGAGAGTAGTGGCCCGTATTCTCTTCTGCCCACACCATTCGTACTCTTCAAAGCGGTTGCCGTTCTCATTCTCGATGTCCACAGAGTCATCCTCAGTCATGCAGGAACCTTCTCTCTGCACAGGGTAAAGCAGGGGCAGAGTGTTGAGATGCATGGGATAGCTCTTGGGGGTTAATAACTCAGGGTGGGATGGAGGAGAAAAGCTGGGCTGTACCCAGGACAGCTAAATACAGAGCAGACAGCAGCATCTACTCCCATCCCCATTCCCTGTGATCTAAATCTAGAAGTAAATGGGTGCTGGAAGAACTTGACAATCTTAAGATCAAAACAAGTTGCGAGATCCATCATTTTTACACATGGAAATTTAAGCTCTGGTTCCTACTACAACGCTGGTGTGCTTTTCAACGTGCATCCCCCTGCCTTGCATGCACAACTTCCCTGTCATGTAAACCACAGATTCCTTTGACCTGCAGCAGGTATGTTATAGAGCGTGTTTTTTGGAGCACACTGATCAAAAGACACCTCTCTTTACACCATGCACCTCTTGAGGCAACAAGAATGAATTTGTTATTATCTCTATTGTGGGCTTTTCCTGAGCAACAAGCACAGAAAATCCTATGACAAAACGCACTCCCTCCCCTAGGGGTTGTTCCTCCTTCCTCCTTGCTGTCTTTGGGATGAACAGCAAGAGATTGGCTCTGCTCAAATGCACATCCTGGAGCACAATGGTCACGCAACATTTACAAATGCCAGCCTGTTACAGAAGAACCCAATAAAAATAATTCTAATGGTGTCAAAGGCAGAGACCAGAAAGAACTCTTCCTGCTGCGCTACACAGGAAGCTACAAAAGGCTTCACAAACTTCAATAGCTTTACACTCTACAACTTAAGACTTCAATAACAGCGAAAGGGTGCATGAAGTAAAAAAGGTACTAATGCAACACAAGTGAAAAATCCAGAGGAATCCATCTTCCAGAACAAAAAGAAGTAACTACAGATCTTAGGGAGACAGTTAGCATTGCCTGGAAGCTCAGCAATGTTAGTTTTTGCCCCATGTTAGGTTAACTGCAGGTAAAGCTGGAAGTGGGGAGAAGGGAATGGCAGCCGGTGATCCTGCTGCGCCTCTACCTTTGCAAGGCATTGTTCCACATGCCTACTCATCTCCTCCTCGGATCCTGACAGAGGGCGGCTGCAGAGGGGACATACCTGCCCTTCGTCTTGCTTCCGCCGTTTCATTTTTCCAATCCGAGCTGTGTGGAGAAACCAGGGAGAAAGAAAAAAAATAAAAAAAGACATGTCAAGTTTGTAAAGCCACTCCTCTCTCTATTTGTTCAGCTCCAAATAATAAACCCTTGGCAGAAATGATAAGATTTCACACCACAAAACCCTGTTGGAACTCCCTATTCTGACCTCCACAAACACTGCAGGCTGTTACTTAGCACTTCCCAGGCTAAATCTGTAGCCTGTGGCTGAGTGCAGCCTGATTTCAGAAAGGCAGCCATGCACGATTTAGTAACTAGGAGAGGGAATACCTGCTGCACATCCCCAGGAAAGTTATTCAAATAGTGACACACTTTCCCTTGAAAGCCTGAAATTGTTTTCAGAGTTCAGTTATCAAGCCACTGAATCCTGTTCTGGATTTTGCCTTCTACGTCCAAGATCCATTCACTAATACATCTATGACCCATCCAAGAACTTGCTTAGAGCATAGAATGATGATGTAGCACCCAAAAAGCCTTACCCAAAGTATAAAACAGTCACTCCCAGGAGCACAGAGTCCCCTGTACACCCTGAATAATTCCTCCCCAGAACAGCATGAACGAGTCAAAGCAGCATCTTAGTAGCAGGTAACATTTATGGAAATGCAGCACCTCTCCTAAATAGCTTCTGGCTCCCTGTTATTTTTATTTCACTATTTTCACATAGAGGAAAACCGGGAGCTACGCTGTCTTCTTGAGGGCACGCTCTGGGAAGCAAACATGTTAGAAATCACGACTATCAGAAAAAACAGCCAAGGTAGCCTGTTGCTTAATCCAATCTCTGGTTAATTTGAGGCATCATTTAATGTGATCAAAACATCTGGAACCAAATCATTTGCATTAAAAAAAAACTTCTGTCCTTTATTACTATGGCTTTAGGCAGGTATTACTGAATAACTCAATCACTGGCTGCAGGAAAGTTGCTGTTTAATTAATGAGGAAGGTCAAAATTCTGAATGAGGGACAAGGAAAAGCCCAAGGAAAGCCCATGTGATAATGAGAGAAGACACCACCAAACAAATGCGTTAGAAATCATTGCTGACACTGTGAGCGCTGCAGCATGTTCTGAAAGCCTTCGTGCCTGAACACTGTGGGATCTACAGCTCCCTGCAGCCAACGAGCCAGAGAAAGTTGCTGGAATGCCAGCAAGAGAAGGACCAGGGTACAGGAAAGCTTCTGTCAGAAAAAGTGCATCAGTTTAGTGTATGCATGTCACCAAGTGAATTATAAAGTTTTATCCGAACGCACCAACACAGACTGGAAATAGCTCTTCTCAAGGCTTTCTGGTTGGCTTCGCTGGACTTGGGACTCTCTGGGTTAGGATACACTTTCCCACAATCGAGAATTAGGAGTATTCATCATCCCCTACACTCTTCTAATGCTCTAGGATTAAGGTAGCTTCAAAATATTCCCTGGACATTGTTTCGCCCCGCCTTGACTGATACAGATTTGTGGGAAAACTCCCTGCAAAATAAATCTCCACTCCTGGCTTCGTGAAAAGGATTCTGCAAATGTGCTGTTCCGAGAATAAGAGACAGCAACCTGACACCAAAACAAGAGCATTTTTGATACCTGGTACTTGGAACAACAGAGACTCTTGAGTAAATGCACAACACTTGCATCGTTTGTCTAAATTTTATTTGCTGAAGCTCCACAACCCTCCCTTGTGTTGAGTAAACCACACTGACAGCTCCACAGCCCACCTGCCTCTCCACACACTTCAGGTACTTCAACATTCCTAGTGGGAGATTTTAATAGTCACCCTTCTAATTTGTTTGCTTAAATCTGTTACTTTATCTGTACTGTCAGCTTCTACTCCAGAAGGCAAACCACTTGACTCCCAGCCAATACAGAAGATGGCATCATGAAGTGTTAATGCCGATTTCCTTGTGCCCAAGCGAATTACATTCCACTTTTATTTAAAACAATGACCCCCAACATATCTCCTGTTTTTTCCTTTCCCATTCTCGACCTCCAAAATGCTATCCCTCCTTCCCTTTCATCATCATTCAGCCCTGTTACAGAAGAAATCATAATTAAGCCAGGCTCCTTCTGGTTTGTACTTCAGGACACGAGACACTTCTGAGGTTCAGAAGCCTCCTATATCCTCCAGTGTGGCTTTTTTCTAGAAGTTTAGGATGCTCTTTCTTTGCCTCACTAGCTCTGTAGAGCCAGCATAAAAGAGGGGAAGAGGCTGGAATCAGACAGAACTTGAGCATTCTCCAGCAAATACCTATTTGACCAGAGACAAACACAGGAACAAAGCCTTCTCTATCCAGATTGCAGACACATCTCTCACCTCAATCTGTTTTTCAACAGGGAAATGTAAGGAAGGAGCAGTTTAATTATTCTGGTAGGACTCCCTGTGGCAAATCAATTCAGCTAAGTCAGTCTGCCTGGCAAGTTTATTAGTATTTTTAACTTTTTTACTGCCATCACCCAACCCATGCAGTGTAACAGAGATAAAAGGAAGACAGCCTGTTTTAGGTCTTGCACCGATAAATTTTTGGGACCACTTTGCCAGAACAAGCACCTGATCTGCTGTTGAAATGTTAGGGCAGAGCTTGGAACAGAACCTCATTCTGCTCCAGCTCCGCACAAGACTCAGCAGACAGCCCCTATGGTTGGCTCATTTTGTCCCTTTAAGTTCCAGTGCCACAAGTGAAAAAGTCACTGGAAGAAAGAGGTGTCGAAAACAAATCCCCCTGCCATTTTCATTCTGTGGTCATTAGCAGCGGCTGTGTTGTGCCCACGGAGACCCAGGGTGCCCCTGGTGACAGCAAAAACTGAAAGGGAATGTTGCAGCCTAGAAAGCACAGCCCAAGCAGCGCTGTCGCTGCCCGGCTATCACTTCCAATCAGAGCAGAAGGGACAGAGTGGCCCCAAAGGCAGGGGGTGATTGTGACGCTGTCCCGAAGGGGAGCAGCTCAAAAGAACACGCAAGTGAGACCACAGGATTCTTAATTAGTGTTGATAGATGCGATCATTTCTAATTAGCTCACTAATCCCTCTCCCCCTCGCTCCTGTGGCAGGAGCATGGGAGAGGGGAGGGGGGGGGGAAAAAAGAAAAAAAGCCATCCCCCTCCTGTAATTTAGGAAGATAAAACCACAGCCAGTGGAGAACTGGATGCAAGAAGAGGATAGAGCTCAGGGAAGGCGGTTTTTGCACTAGGCTGACCCACTCTCATCTCTGGCTGAACAAAGACTCTGTAGTTACTATTCCAGCCCTCTGCCAGGAGGTGAGGAGCTCACTAATTTTTATTAGCATTAATAATTATTATGAGGCCATCAGAGGGCTTCCAGCACCTTTGAGGCCTCACTTTTAACAGATGTACATTACCTTACACATGCCCCCTGCTTGCACTTGCATGTTCTCCCCCAGGTTATGCTAAACCACTGGGCACCTGGGGAGCTTAAGTCACCACAGCCATGGAACGGGAAAGCAGAACACGGAGGCCAGCAAGAATCAGGACCCTCCACAAGGGCCGGGGTCTCTGTTATGATTTCTGACTTAACTTTGGAGCTGTGCTGGCTAAGGGAGCTGCTCTTCTCTTTTGGGGTCTTTTGGGACTATGCAAGGGAAGAAGCTGCTGCCTAGAGGAGACAAATTGCACTTGACAAAGCCTCTGCTGCTCAGGGGACACTTGTCCCTGCCTTCCCATGAGCGTGGAGAGAAGGAGCCTGTCCACCACACCTGCTTTATGCGTGAAAGAGACTGGTGATCTTTTCTCACAACAGGCTCTCCCCATCGAGGCTAAACCTTACTAATGCCTAAAGATCATGATATTCTCTGGCTCAGAAAAACTTCCTGAGAGAAAAGCAAATGGATTTTAGATTTCAATGGTGTTCCCCTCCCCAGGCAAAAATTCACCTTCAAGATGGGGCACTGACGACCTCAGAAGTGCTCTTACACGGCGATGTGACACGCCTAGCTGTGGACACTACACAAACCTCTACTGCAGCACCAAAGGAGATGATTAAGTTACTAGCAATCTCTCTCATGATTCCCTCCACCAGTTTGAGTGGTCCCTCGAGTCTCATGCAGACATCATTAGCAGCTCCTGCAACGGCAGGCCAATCAAATTAAGTGGAAACATTTTTGTCTCCTTTCCAGCAAAAATCATCCGGCTTTATTCCTCCCCCACCCATCAGCCACAAAAGCACATCACAAACCGGTGGCAGTTCAACAACAAACTGCACGGTGACCACCTCCACGGAGGTCTGCCCAGAGAGGCTTATGGTCACCACCAAAACAGGAATCAGCTTCTTAGGTGCAAAATGAGCTTCATAAGAATCTGGTTTACAACTCTGAGAATGCCAACTTTGCAAATACCCCTAAATTTGAATCAAAAATATCCAAGCACAGGAGTTAGCACCTGCTCTCTGCAAACCTGCTAGAGGAGTCTTGACGAGTGGTTATACTCGTTTTTGTTAGGCCAACCACAAAAAGCTTCTGGGGATGATCAACTTATCCAAGAGTCACCTGATCCAAGGGAACAAAGGCAGCAATGGCAGAGTACAAAAAGCCGTCTCAAGAACAAGCTAAAGCAAGAAAACAGATGGCGAAAAATGAACCTTTTTCAGACCTTACGTACAGCTCGCTGCTCATCTGCCCAAGAGAGAACATTCAGGGTTGAATTTGTGGAAATGTCTCAGCGGGGCTTTCACATTTGCAGGGCCAAACTCCCACACAGTCAATTTTCAGTCTGACACTATTCCCCAAGATTGTCACATACTAACTTGCTGAATCCATGTTCTGACATGCTAACCCTTAACTTTGTGCCTCTAATTTGGGATGACCATCTAACCTGCTCTTCACTGTTAAACTCTATAAGCATCAATTTAGAAAGCGGCTTAAAGTTTCCAGTTCGGCAACACTGGAAATAAGGCAAATGAAAGAAATGTATCACATGGGTTTGTCAGGAATCAGCACCTCATACTCCTGGGTTCACAAGGACACAGCCTCTGCAAAGTGAGTTTGGCACA